TTTAAAGAATATATATTATATTTGTTCAAAAACTTTTATTCGACGTATAAATATATTTAATTAATTAGATTTTTTTGAATTATTTATTAATATAACAATATTAAAAAATTGTATATCACAATTTATTTCGTTAACATTTTAAAGAGAACTTTAAAAAAAATATGTATTTATTTGAACAACATAAAATAATAAGTGTTACTTTTTTTTACAAACAAAATGTATCTCGAAAATAATGTTTCATATTTATTTAAGAAATTTTTTACTCTACAATATTTGATTTGCATGCAACTTAATAAGAAAAAAATCAAAAAAATCAAATGTTTTTTTATATCATTGCAATGAAAAATGAAAATCTTTAATAATAATTTGAAATAGGTTTTTAATTTTATTTTAGTTAAGTCATCAAAATGATGTGTCATMTACATCACCTCATTAAAGTCACACAAGCAAAAAAAGTCAATGGGTTAATTAGTTTAAAAGGTAACAGGTTAGTCATTGATATTATGAATAGATTTTTTAAAGTACGATACTTTAATAAAAAAATAATTTAAAAATACATTTTTGTAATTGTAATAAAAAAAAAACAAAAGTAGAATGATATAATAATTTTTTTTATGAAAATAGGTTGTTATTTAATACAATTAACCCTTAAAGTAATAATATTTACTCGATATAAATAAATATATTTTTGTATAAATTTTAATATGTTTATTTTTATAGATAAAAATATAAATGATATAAAATTAAAATAGTAGTACCTTAAAAACTTAAAAAAAAAAAAAAAACTAGAGTGAATCTTTTTAACATTATAAAGGTACGTTGAGGTTTTTAAATTATTAAGGTGATGATGATATTAATGAAAAAACTGTGTGAAAAAAATAGTAGAAAAGATCGATATGGATGCTCCCAAAACATTATTGCGGATGTACTAACTGCCTCCTTTATCTCACGTGTGATGCACGTGAAGGTTATAAGGGTTAAAAAGGCACTTTGTCAATTGTCATGATAATTGGGGTGACTTGTACTAGTTTTTTTTTATCGGTAAACTAATTTAAAGGTTTAAAATACTTTTATAATAATTAATAACAAAATAATAAATATAGGGCTGATTATTTGAGAACCTGTAAAAATATAAAATCTTTGAAATTAGCTCGTCATGTGATATCTATACTACTTTATTAAACAAATTCCTTCAAAGTCTTAAAGTCTTAAAATTATAAATGCCCAAAATACCCTCTACTTATCTCTGTTTTTCAACCACTACTTTTCAACCCATAACTTTACCTGGCTCCCCTCCCCAAGAAGCCGCTTACATCGATCCCCTCCCCAAGACGACGATTCACGGGATCCCCTAGACGACGATTCACGGATTCAGACAAATCATCGGACGATTCAGGTATTTCTCTCACTCCTTAAGATGACGATTCAGGCATTTCTCTTATCGCTCCACAGGCTATCGCTCCACATACTCGCGATCCATGCTTCGAATACAGCTAGGGTTCCAATCGAGGTAATTATTTTTATTTTCCATCTTCATTTGGTTGGTTAGGGTTCTTGGTTTTCTATGGGTTAGCGAATTAATTGTTCCTCTGTGTTGATTCCATTCGAGATATTCACTTATGTGAGTTTTAGGGTTCTTCCCATCTTCCAGGTAATAATTTGGTTGGCTTAACTTTGATTCACTATTTTTTCTATGAATGGGTTTGTTACAATGGGTTTGTTCTACTTGAATCTTTTGGTTTTCTCACCAACAGATTACTTTTTATGTTTCTTAGACATGTGTAGTATCATAATATGTGGGATATGTTGTTATTTATTAGAGGCTTACATATCACATAAAGTTTGAGCATTTTCTTGATTTTAGTGGATGATAAACGTTGTGTTTTGTGCATTTTCTTGATTTTGCATCATTCCCAATTTCTCCATGCTTTTGTGTGTTCAAACAAATCAATTTCTCAAGTATTAGGCTGAGAGTTTTTTTGGAAGTTTGAATGGAATGCATGATATGTATATCTACTAAACTATTCGGGATAAGGAATGTTGTAACTTTGCATCCTAGATGATGTGCTTGCAGTGGAACCATAAGGATATAAGATAAATTGTTAACTTTAAAAGTTTCTTATGTCTACATGTACATGATACTGGAAGTACTGCCACTGTGTATTTGTTTGTTTTGTTAATGATCACATTCAGTCGATGCATATTTTCAAGGGGTGTATCACTATAGATTTATTTCTGGGAAAACGTAGTGATCATTATATTTAATTGTTCATTTAAAAGGAACATTTATATTGATACGTCTTTTAACCTTTCAATTTATTTTAATATGAGGAATCTTAATTTCAAAGTAATTTTGCTCAAAGTAATTGGTTTATCATAATCTTCTGCAGTCCTAGGTATACAAAAAGGTTGGCTTTCAACATCGAGAAGATTTTTGGAAGGTTCTCCAATTGCAACCAAGGATAAATTTAGAAAGCTGACATTTAGAAGGTATACAAATCAATTTATCTGTTGGTTTACACTTACAGGGAGAGGTTATTTGTTATGATGACATGTAAACAATTGTTTATTGTCATCTTTTATATTCATGTAATGCGTTATTACTGTTACGGCACAAGCTATTGCTAAATCTTGATGAGGCTTTGAGGACAATAGTTTTTTAACGTCAGAGGAGGGGCTGTTTTTGGAATGGTAAACTGTAGGATTTTCATTGTTCTTGAATCCTTTTGTAGATCTGAGCATATAATCCTTTTGTAAACTAAGGGTGCTTGCCCCCCCTCTGTTTATACCAATATCTGTTTTGCCCTTATTTAGTCAAACATCATTCTTTGTAGCCAATGATTTTCTCTCGATGCAGATGATGCAGATGAACGTCTAGGAGCTGATATCATCCAAAAACTTAAATCATGAACCATAATTTTACACAATTAGATATTCAAGGGTTTCTGGGCTGAGGGAATATATAAATTCTTGCGGGCATTGGTGGTGGTGGTGATGATGAATCTGACAAGTCTAAGTCTGAGGTTAATGATGAGGAAGGCAATGAGGAGGTATGTTATTGAAGATTCAAAACTTTTCAAGATTCAAATAATGTGTAGTTTTGATTCTAATCAAAGGGTATTTTTTGATGTGTTTATAGGATGAAGAAGATGATTGAAATGGGTTGTAATTTCTTAATACCATTAGCAGAGTTGTTGGTAATTGATATGTTGATGTTGCGGGATAGTAGTATTGATTAGACTTTTAGCTATTATGATGCACAGAGAGAACAAATTAGTTTTGTAGCTTGAGACCGTTTACCAAACACTTACCCGGGTAAGCGCTTACCAAGTCGCGCTACCTTACCGGATGAATAAGGTAAGGACCAAGAATCTTACCCGGTAAGAGCGAGACAAAGATCATGAGTCTTACCTGGCAAGTGAGGATGATGACTCTTACCACGGTAAGAGCTTATCGAGTAAATTGTTGCATACGATGTCGTTTTGGTGGACTAAAATCTTACTTGATAAGTAAATAATAGTGTTAAATTTTACCCGTTAGCACTTACTGGTAAGTGTTTGGTAAACGGCTCCTTAGTGTTTCTACTAAATCACAATATATATTTGTTTCACTTACCAAAATCAATCTTTTGAAACCTGCTCCAATGCTCTATATGTTTCCTCATAGATGACAATATGAGTCGAAGAATAGTTTAGAGTTGAAATATTGATTTTTGTTTGATGTCGAAGGTGGAGGCGATGCTTGATAAGACCATTTCTGCATTATCTGGCGTGTTCATTGGGGCTCTGGGATCGACCTTCACAGAGGACATTCTTTGGTTACGCAGAGGGTGGGGAACAACATCAAGATGTGATGAGTATCTGTGTGAGGGTGAGGTGCCAAAATTAATTGCAGGAGATGAATGAATGCATGTGTATGTAGGGTATGTATAGAGGTTAAATTAGTAATTGTAACATATGATATAAATAATAGCATTAAAATTAGAACAATTTTTTGATTCAGATGAAGAGCTTGGGTGAGTGTTTTTCATTATGCTTCTGGATTACATACCTCATCTTATGGTAAGATAGCAACAAATCATGCAATTCTTATTTTTCCCTGAAAAACCTGCTACATGTGAAGATCATATAAAGTGTTTGTTTGGTTCATGAACAATGTGGTTGTTTCTTGTCTTTCCAATTAAAGTTATATATTTTTCAGCTTTTCTAGCTAGGTTTGGAAAATTTTAATCTCGAATATATTTGCAAGCGAGTATATTTCTATATTATTTTAATACGTTTGAAATTTATTCGTTAAGAAAAGGTTTGAAATTTATAAAAGTAACTCGTAACCAATTGATAAAACATGTTCAAATTGAAGACAAATGCCGAGCAAGATAATGCATAAAACTGATAACTAACAAAAAAAAACCTCTATTATTCATTCAAAACTAAACAAATTCGTAAAAATAAATCGCATTTATAATCATTGACAAGTGAGCTTATTTTATCTTTTATCTAAGCAAGTTGTTTAATTGAGATATCTTTTACCTTTCAACATTTCCATTGAACAAATTTTGTCAAATTATTTAAGCCTTTATCTGATCTAATTGGTTGATTTGTATGGTTTGTGTGAAAAATGTTTAGTACGGAAAATGTTTAGAGGTCGTTTACCAAATGCTTACCCGAATGAACACTTGCCATAAAATTCAACACTATCACTAATTTATCGGTATCCTATGCACAAACGTGGTGAGTGTCGTCGCCCTCACTTGCTAGGTAAGATTATCGGTCCTTGCTTTCGCACTTACCGAATATGATTATTGGTCAATTCTATATTCACTGGGTGAGGTAATACGACTTGGTAAACTCTTACCCGAATGAGCATTTGGTAAATAGCCTCTTAGTCAAATGATTATTTTATGAAAGTTTGCTTAATAGAAAAGTATTCTTCGAATATCAAGAAGTGGATATCAAACTCATTATGTGAGCCAACTAATCCAGGGTGACCACCCGCTTCTCGGATAGTCCGGAGTCACCACAATTAAACCTCCGTGGCCACAAGTGAATTTTTATTCCTCCTTGGATTCGATCATCTACTCCGGTTAGATTACGAGAAAGATGAATGACATTATGTAATTTCTAGAAGACATGGTTTATTTCCTGCATTTGTTTTTTAAGCTTTTTTCATTCGTAATATTCTATATGGAATGAGATTGCTATCAAAAGTACTTGAATTTTTACCGGGATCTCGTATTCATGTAAAAAGAATTTTTTTTTGTCTTCTACAGTTAAATTTTGCAACCCGCCGCATTGCGCGGGTAAACAACTAGTTCTATATGATTTTTTCCCATCAAATGCTAGAATTTAGTGAATTGATTAACATATATTTATTTTACATGCGGACGTTGCGGGTTCAAGCCCTGTCGGTCTCGACGGATCCAATAAGTATATCAATTCGTTTTCTCCAATTCTGTGAAATATAGCACAAAGAGCATAATTTAATTTCGAAGGTCTGTCGAAGAAAGAACACACCTTAAACTAAAACGAAAATAACTAAAACAACGAGGTTCATAGAATATTCCATCTTTTCTCACGGAAGGACTGGCTTTATTTGAATTTGAAAAGACTATCCTAGTTATGATCGCTCGATCACTTCCTTTTCCACTAAGTGAGCGCACCTGCTAACATCTTTTGAAACACTTTTTAGTGTGCGCTTTAGTTTTCTGACTCATCTTTATCATACTTCTTTGTCTTATAAAGAAAATTGGATCATAAAAGAAAACCGACAATATGTTTGTTTGATTGTTTTTACTTCTTACAATGTGAAATTTTTTGCATGTTTGTGAAACAAAAAATATGCATAAAAATGTTTCACAATGTGAATTGAATATATACGAAGCAAAAAACACATTGTAAACAAATATATGTTAATCAATATATTAAATACTAAATTCAGATAATTATTAACACAATTATCATTAACCATAAATTCTGAAGAATAAAGCGATGTTTGTAGAAGATGAAATATATGCATCATTTATTTGTTTAGTGGTTGCACACACATGTTAATTTTGAGGTGTGTTATGATGCCATGCACTATTTGACTCTTGATTTTTTTAAAGTTTGGCTCTATTTTTAACCTTCACCTTATTATAAACTCTTATATAACATTGTATACATATATTTGTTCGGACATAATCATTTAATAACTTTAAATTTTATAAGACCTGTGAAAACTTCTACCTTAAGGTTTTGTTTTACATAAAAAAATTTCATCTAAACATAGTACTTTATGTATTGATTAATATATATTTGTTTTACAATATGTTTGTTTCATATGTAATCGGTTGACTATGCAAAACTTTTTACATGTAATTTTTGTTTCACAAACATGCAAAAATGTTCACATTATAAACTGAGTAATGTGAATATATATATATATGTTAATCATTACATTAAATTCTAAGTGTAGATGAAAAAAATCATATGAAATAACACATGATGTACTGGTTGTCAAAGATCTCACGATTTACAAAGTTCTCAAAAAAAGGTCCACTCTATCTGGTTCAAACAAGAATAATGATCAAATAAGAAAGCATGAGAACAACTGAATCACATGTGATTTTACTTTAAAATCACATGTGATTCGTGTGACCATTGTTGCAACCTGAGGTTGCGAGCCAAGTCGCCCGCATTCCCTTACATTGACTGTGTTCCGTAATCATATGCGATTTTAGTGCAAAATCACATTGATTTAGTCGTTCTTTGTTTTCTTATATTGACTATGTTCTCGTTTGAACCTCCCTCCCTCCTCCATTTTCTCTCTCTCTAGACCTAAAGAAAACCACACAAAAAAAAAACAATTTAGTAACATATCAATATGGGTGTTAAATTAAATAGAATAAAATGATCCATTTTTGGTGTAATTCGTTTAATCCAATATATCAATACATGATTTTTAAAATTATTTAAATTGTTCGATGTCATATGACTATGTACATGAAATACCCAGTTGTCGTTTCAATCCAGATATTGAAAAATGATGTAGCCTTGTTATAACTCCTAAGACTTAAAATCACATCTCACGTCGTCTAGAACTTTACAAGATACCTCAAATATTCAACTTTCAAAAGAAAAGAAAAAAACATTTACCAACCATATAATAAAAATACAACAACTATATCAAATCATCGTGTAGTTCCTTTTAACTTGCACGTGTTTCGATGATTGAGGGTCTAAGTAGGTTAATAGTAGACTAATAAATAACAATATATCATAGTATGATAACTTTTACGGAATCTTCTAGATCGATTTACAACTCGAACTTTGTCATCATATAACCAAGACTCATGCTTACAAACAACATTAGGAACATTGCAATGGGTATATGTCAAATTCTTGTGTCTAAATGGTAATGGGAATCATATGTATAGTTGTGACTTTAGGGCACACAACAACATAACAAATACAAAACACCCGAATCTAAAGTAAGATTTGCATCAAATTCCTAAAATTTCTAGATTTCACAAGAAAACAACACAATAAAAAACATAAAAATGAAGATAATAAAAAGAATTAAACAAGGGTTTTTGTTTGTTTTAGGTTTGTTTTGATTCCATTTCTCGAATAATTTATTGAAGAGTGAGAAGTAAAAGATAAGAACTCAATATTGGTAATTTTTTTTTCAAAGATAACAAATATTATTTAAAAAAAAATAAAAACCCACAAAGTGGATACAAATTCCACCTACACTTTCTGCAAGATGCACAGAGAACCCTCCAAAAGAACACCGACGTCTACCCCAAATAAGGGCAACACAAAAACAACAACACACGAAAAGAGAGACCAAAACTGAATATGATACAAAAAATCAAGAGAACCACCGAAAAATCAAACGATCTAGGACAACAGCGCTTCCGCATTAAGAACGACCTTTTAAGATGGATCTCGAGTTGCAATATCAATCTGATCAAGAAAAGATGAAACCTTTTGAACGATGAGCTAACTATTGGAAGGATAAAAAGCTGGAAATTGAAAGAAATGTGATCGTTATTACTAACTTTTCTTATTTTGTGTTTTTTTGATCGTTTCTAGGATGATACGTTCAATTAATGCAATTATAACATGAATGATATTCTTGTTATTAGAAAGTGATATTTTTTGTATTAAAAATGATATTTTTGTTGTTTTAATTCATTTAAGATTCAAATGAATGATAATAAGATTGATGAAGCCTAAGTCCAACTTAGGGCCTGTTTGTTTTTCTAAAAAAAACCACTTAATTGCCTCTTATGTCTGAATCGGTCAGACAATGAGGCATTAAGTGCGTTTATTTTTTTTAAAAATTAAGTACTTAAAAACTCTCAAAAGGTCTGAATTATTTAGAGGGATCCTAAAGTCTGAAAACCTCTTATTCCTTGCGTCGCCTACCAGAGTCTGAAACCCTCTTACCGTCGCCTACCAGACATCTCTCTCAATCGATCTCTCTTGAAATCGCCTTGCGTCGCCTACCDTCTTCTTCTCGATCTCTCGATTAGTTCTATCCATCTCGATCTCTYGATTAGGTATCCATCTCGATTTC